TGTCACTGTCCGAATGTTACTTGTACGCTCCATCAGTAGATTTGTAAATGTTTAATGCGGTTTTGTCGCTTGCTCATTGAATGTGAGTACCCCCTAGGTGTCAATAAAATGGGAAGTAATCGACCCACCTTCGATTTTTCTCAAATTTTACTTGATCCAGTTTAAAGTGTTAACAAAGGCAAGCGTAAATGTCCACTAAAATTCCGTCATCGCAAAACCCAGTCGCCTCACCTAATGCAGTTGTAGATGAGCAACTGCTCTTGTTTCGCTATAGTAGTTGATATGCTTGTTTGTGGTTCTGGAGAGCTTGCAATACTTGGTGTCACTCTTACAAACGTTCCTTTCTTTTAGGTCTTATTGAATTTATACCCGATAAACTCCCTCATTGATATTTTGTGTACAAAATGCGTAAATCAGCACGTGATAACAACGATAACGGTGGTTCCGTAACTGGCTGGGAGGATGAAGTATGTATCGAATCCTCACTAATATCTTTAGGGCGGGTATATGAAAGCGAAAATTCGAAAGTTGGAATCCCAGTTTTCTGAAGAACCTAAGAAGTCGTCTATATTCTCTGGAATTCGTGTTTACGTTAATGGATACACAGGTGCTTGTTCCGTGCTAATGGACAACTTCGTTTAGTGCCCTCAGCAGTTGAAATAAAGCGCCTTGTCCAGGAGAATGGCGGAACGTTTGTACAATATTACTCGCAATCCGCTGGTGATTTCATGGTTGCTGCCAACCTTCCGCTGAATAAAATCAAGAAGATTGGTGGTCAGAAAGTGGTCAAGGCATCTTGGATAACTGACAGGTATAAAAACTCATCTCTTTCAAACCCATAATGGAACCTCATAAAAGATGTGAGCCAAGGTTACATGCCAGTAAACAATGCGAGTTTAATCAGCACGTCTTGCTACCATCTACGTTTCGTGCCTGACTAATTTTTTAGGCTGGAACGAATTTTTTTTCTCAGCGGTGTCATTTAAGAACTTACTTAGGCCCTCGATCGGGAAGCTTATTATTCTGTTGATTCACATTTCATTACCGTCACATAACTTGCTTCGTCCGCATTTAGCATCGCCGCAGGTCAACTTTTGCCTTGGAAAAATTTCGAACTGTATCCTCCTCGTGGGCAAATGAAAAACCAAACTGCTCTTCCGATGGTTAAAGAAGGTTTCACTGGCCCAGGTAACGGAAACTTGTGTCAAATAGGCAAACTCTACTAGTCAGGTTACCTCATTTGGTGACCATTTTTAAAGCCATTGGTTCCATCGCACTTACATTGTTCAACATAAACAAAGATATTTGTCTGAATAATTAGTTATCATGGCACGATTATTTTGAGTGGAGAACTACGCTCTCGAGTTTGCATGTTGACCCTAATATAGAAATCTTTAACTCGGTAGGTGTTACGCTTTCTCTGAACTTCACGTCCTGTGTAGTCTTGGGTGTAAAATTTGGCGACATGGGCGATGTAATCTTTTAGATTCACTGGAGATACCCGCGTGCGAAGAACAAAGTTCATCAAATCAGTAAGTCGTTCACTTTCCAATTCGTTCCAAAATACAGCGTGGCATTTGCTCGTTCTCCATACATTGTGGTAATATGGTATAGCATACCTTTTTTACATAAAAGTTATGTATGCGGGTTCCCTCAAGACCTAATTTTGTCACCTTTACTGCATCTGATTGTAACCTATCCGAAGCCCATTCTGCAAAGTCTAGTTGTTGTCTTTGCTCCAGGGCCGAAGACATAACCATCAATTTGATTCCAGAAAACGACTCAAACGACGTATCTCTGAGTCCCAAGACATTGAGTTGTCGGCCTACTTGTTCCTCCTCAAAAGCCATCCTTGGTTCTGAAGAAAACACGGTAAACGTGGTCGTAAATTACTTTTATCTCTCTTTCCTACGGCCTTGTCTTTTTTACAAAAGAAACCACGTATTTAGTCATCTATTGGCATTGCCCCATTGGCTAAAATAAATAGCAAGATAGACTCAGTCATCATAGAGACCGAGTTGTTCATTACGGGTACAGCCTCACGTAAACGTTAAGTAAATAACTTGTCAAAACGCTTAATACTTTGAATTCCTTGTTTACTTTGGTTTAATGTGAAAGAAAAGTCTCCGACGTCGTGTGTGCATGGTAAAAACAAATTTGAGTGGGTTGAAGATATAACGCCTCTAGTAGTATGATAACATAAAATGGGTAGATGAAGTGACTTGTGAGTTGCTGTAATGAGGTGTTGAGAATATGCACTTTACTAACAAAGACATTTGGTTATGACAATTTCGCAATCAGGACAACCCACTTATTTCTACACCTCTTGACTGTCGAAGACGACAACGTAGTCTCCGTGTATTGTGGCTCAACAGCTTTCCATGTTCGTGCAGTACCGATAAATGTTAACGCAGTTGAGATCTGCATGAGAAAATGGCAATGTGCAATGTGCAGGTCCTCAAAGCCTCGTGCAGTATCACAACTCGAGTCCCAAAATGGCAATACTTTTTTTTGGCTCCCGGCACTCCAACCCCAAACGAAAGCGGTCTTTCAAAATATTTTATTGGCAAAATTCAAAGCTTCTGACGTTATTCAGTGGCCTACATTCGATCCCTTGGACGTATTACGAGCTCTACCAAAACCCCTGGTGGTTTTAGCTGCCCCTGCGGCCCAAACATCACAGCTTGCATCCAGTTCTGTTTTAACAGGATATCGATTTAAAAAAAAAAACAAACCGCCGTAGCTTTGTCCGCACCTCCGTCGCGTTTCCGCCACCACCCCTCCCCCACCGCACCATCGGTCCGTCGGTGGGTTTGCACCTGAGTTTGAGTGGCAGTACCCGCAACTCAACTCGCGTACCCGTAGGTCCTGTTTGTCACAGTTGCATTTTACTTTGTTCTACTATCAAGACAGTCACTAATTTAGGTTTGGTTTCTCATGTTGGATGCGATTGTGTTATTTTAATGAAGGCGGACCTACGCCATCCGAGTCTCCCGCTGAGCTTAATCATGGCGATCATGGGGCTGGTGCCCTAGGGGAGGCCCAATCGGCTCTTGGCGATTTCAGTGCCGTTCTCTATGACCACGCGATTGCTCCCCATTAAGTCTCCGGTTACTCAAGTCATGTTTTTTTTTAACCGTCAAGGCCTCAATTACCAAAAAGCCTAGAGTTGAAGATATCCTCCCAACCGCAAGCGATGGCTACATTTCCCAATTCTACTCGCGTTCACGCCTTCATCACCTCTCGTCGTGGGCGTCGGAGCTGCGTGACCTGGTGCGCTCCCTCAGACAGGCCCAGGGGTCAGGCGACGCGGCCTGCGGCGAGGGCCAGCGCCGCCTGCGTACCGAGGTGGAGCAGCGTCTGGTTGCGTCGGCGTCGGTGGCTGAACTGACGCTGAAGCACGCGGGTGGTAAAGCAGCGTCATCCGCTGGTGTGCTGCCACGTGTTCTGATGCACATTGATATGGACTGCTTTTTCGTCTCCGTCTGCCTTAGGAACAATCCCGAGCTCATTGGTACACAATCCAATGTGTTTTGGATATCCTAGCCACTTGCAAATTTTAATCTGTACGTTTTTGCGTGATTTCAGGCCTTCCAGTTGCAGTAACTCACAGTAAGGGCATGAAGACTGAGCTGTAAGTTTTCACCTTATTGGTGATTTCATCGGTCGTGTCGATTTCTTTGTTGTTCTTTTTTTGTATTTGCGCATTTGCAGCACTGAATTCGGTTCCTTATCGGAAGTCGCTTCATGTTCATATGAAGCTCGCCGAGTGAGTCCTCATTCTCGCACGTACAGATTGCTTATGATCCTTGTTGGAAAATGCAACATCGCTTCCCATTCCTTGTAGTTTGGCATTACTAATGGGATGCATCTGGGCGAGGCCCGCAAGCTCTGTCCTGATTTAAAAACGGTACCCTACGATTTCAAGGCCTTTCACAGCGTCTCTGAAGACCTTTATAAACTGGTTGTCAAGTAAGTAGCTCTCTAACCCTCGGTCCTACTGCCCCTTAACATTGTGCCTTTTTGGTTCCGATCAGTGCCTCTGAGGTGTGAGCAGACCATCGGCTGGAACTCCCATAAGCCGATCTGAGATTCATGCGCATACCATAGTCTGGGAGTAAAATAAACGAAATTGACGTTCTATGAAGCCCTATATATAATGGTATGCTTCAGTGATCACTAGCTATTTTTTGCAGGTATTCTCTACAAATTGAGGCCGTGAGCTGTGACGAGATGTACGTTGACGTGACGGAGTTACTCAACTTGAGAGAAGTTGATGGAGAGTGCCTACGCCTGACGAATCCCCTCATTCTCGGCGAGGTGCTGCGGCGACACGTCTATGAGGTGACTCAGTGCAGGGCTACCTGTGGCTTCGGCACCAACCGCCTGCTCACCCGATTAGCCACAAAGCGTGCCAAACCGGACAGTCAAGCCTTCTTCCTCGGCTCCAATTGGCGATTAGCCGAGCGCCCGATTGAATCGATCAAAATCTACGAGGTCGCTAGTGAGGAGGGGCAAAAATACTTTGATGATTTAAATTTATCGGAGTTACCCGGTACGTTATTTCGCGCTTGTTACTTTCTTGCTCTTGGGCTGTAGTCTACAGAAGTATCTTGGAGTTCTGTTTTAGGTGTGGGACGACAAATGGTCAGAAGAATTTCTCACAACTTTGGCGTCTCTACGTGCGGACAACTGTTAAAAGTGGTCTCTCCCACTCAGTTATCCTCTTTGTTGGGTGTAAAGACAAGTCAAAGGATTCTGCAGCTATGTCAGGGCAAGGTACATTAATGTGGCCGCATTCCTTTTTCGTGTTGTATTTCTGTGTTGATTATTACTTCTAAACCGTTGATCATCACTGCCAATTTAACCTAACGAGGCGTAAACCAGAAACGCTCGTAGTGACATGTCGAGTTGTGGATCGGATCCATCCAAGTGTCGTGTGGCGAATTTTGGTCCCTTCGCAACATCTTGCGACTCTGCTCTTGCCCTGTTTCAATGATATCCATAATTTATTGTGTTTTGCATCACGTGGTAAATTCCTTAAGCGGAGAGATTTTCTATTTGATTAAACCAGACATGCCTTGGTCCTGTTGCTCTCACATGGCTGATTGTATTCTGTGAAATGCTTTGTAACATCGAAGCAGTGTTGCACGCCTTCAGTAAAAATCTGACACATCCTAGCACCAATATCTTTAATTGTGGAATATTTTTTTTGGTTTTAGGATTCTTCTGAATTGACTTTTGATAGGTATGCTAAGTCGATATCGGCTGAAATAAACTACGGCATTCGCTTATCTTCGGTACGTGAACCATATTTTTACCCTATTCGGGTGCTACCTTGCTATAGCGCAGGCCAAATGAACACAAGCGGTCTACATTTTTAGTGGTCAGAGGTGGAGAAGTTTGTGGGTGACCTGGCGAAGGAGCTCGCAGCGCGGATGGCGAACGCTGCCGCGGAATCCAGGAGCGGGTCTGGTGTGGTCGGCAAAAGTCTCGTCGTGCATCTCCTAACTAGAAAGCCCGATCAACCTGTGGAGCCTGCTAAGTTTATGGGTAGGCTTTCAACGCATGTTCGTTTGATTTAACTATTTTGGAAAATCCGGTGGGGTTCTCTGTTTACCCAATCACTGTGAAGTCCCTAATTTGTCTACTTTTGCATAACCAGCCAATGAATGACAGTGGTAAATATTTCTGTTCTAGCGTACCCTGTGATCAAATGAGTTGTCCATTTGAGTGAAGTCTGTTAGCTTGTGGTCTCACGTCTACCCACGACGAACGTAATTTTTTTAATGAATCGGTCATTCAGACCACCATTGATTCAGTGTCGCCGTCCACATTTCTCACGAACTTTAACGTCAAACCCTAATTTTTTTAACGAGATTTCGTGTAAAACATTTACTTTATCAGATGCAGAAGGAAGGACTTCGAAGTAGGCGGTTGTGGGCACACCATGCGTGTTCCCCAAATTCAGTCTCGCCCCCCCCCCATTGTAACAATGTTTGACCCGCTCTACTGATTGGTTCTTGAAACGGGAAGGGTTTTGGTTAATGGTAGAACTAATTAGCATTCAATTATTAATTTAACGAAACACCCATTTTGGTCATTCGTCAATTTTCCGTTTTTTTACGACTAACGTTCCAGAAAGGCCCGGATTGTTAATTGTAATCTCAGTTTCTGCATCAGCTTTTATGACCTGTTAATCTAGGCCATGGAATATGCAACAGTTGGACAAAAACCATACCACTCCATACCGCCACCGCGGATCCCGTGGCAATCGCGAGTTCCTGTCTGTTGGCTCTCCGTCGTCTCGGACCTCGTCCTGATGACATCCGCGGGGTGCGGAAATTTTGCATTAAAACCCTGCATTTCGATGCACGTCACAGCGCCTTTTTTCTACACAGAATATGCAGTTTTAGATGTCTTCGTATTTTCCCCAAATACTAGAAATTCGTGGATGTTCAATTTTGGAGCAATTACGATTCCTTAGCGCTGCATGGATCAAGTCAATAGTTGCCAGGGTGTTTGATATTACTTAAGTGACTTTAAGAGTGCCTGGCCCGCAGGCAGGAGTTGTGTAGTGTAGATGGGATTTTCATGTTAGAACAGTTGGGCCGTCTGTTTGCTACGCACCACCATCAATATGGGCCCTTTGTCCAATGGTGCTATACGTGGGTGGTGAATCCCTCCTGCACTAGTATCTCGTTTAACCTTTTGTTGCATAGACGTTTGTGTCGATTGCTCTTCGTTCGTTAGCTTCACTCACTCTTACTTTGTGTCTTTTCCTTTGTCTTACAAGTCTGTTCATAAAAACCACAAGATCGTTTGCGTTAATCGACCCCATTAACTGTGTAATGAAACACAACCGCGTTGTCCACTCGCTCTTTCTTGGTCAAGTCATCCCTGACAAATTCGACTTGCTCTGTTCCACTTTTCTTTCCCCTAAGTCAAACATGTTCTGTAGACATTTATTTCTGGAAATGACCTGTCTAGAAATTCGTTACAGTAGATCCACCATACAAATATGCTCAGAATTGATATACTCAATGTGTATTGGATCACGTACCTAAAGGGGATTGTCAGTTTGATTTTGAAAGACGAAAGAACATTTGTGGTTTTAAGGGAGCGTGTGGATTTTGATCATTCTCCCCAAGACTGCCTTCGTGTTTGTAGCTCGGCCTGCAAATGCAGCGCCTGTCGCCGGCCTCGCCGTCGGCCAGGCTGTCGCACCCGAGCAGAGGCGCCGTCCCTCTTGGCCCGCCCAACGAACCAACTGCGTCCATTGTCAAATTTCTCAAACCACAAAGTCCCAACTCAGGGTAAATATTCGCTCTCTCGGGAGTTCTCGGTGTTTATTTACTCACTGGTGCTTTCTGGTCTCCTGTCTAGCAAGAATCGTGCCACCGTCTCTGCACGTGGTAACAGTGATTCCACCGATACCCCCAGTGCGTCAACCTTGTCAGACAACAGCGTCGTCACACTGAGCGCTTCTCTTACATCAGGTCAACCCCCGAGTCTGGTAAGCGTCCAGTTTTCCTCTCCAAACATGCCAGTTGAGTGACCGGTTTGGTGTCTTTCAGTGTTTTGCGTGCAGTCTAGTTGACTTTGACGCGAGGCAAATTGTTGGTTGGCCAACTGATCGGCATAAACACTTGTCTGCATTAGACGAAACAACGAATCCGTCTCACTGTCATTTGCCTTCTTGGCTGCAAATATCCTGTGCATTTACTCGCCTTGTAAATGAAGAGCTTTAATTTCGGCAATATTCTATCCATGGTCGTGCGCGGTGTTAGTGACAGCACTCTTGCGGTGCTTCCCAGTTGAAATTTTGGGAAACTCATCAATTAACTGAAACTGTCACTCTCATTGCTGCTCCCTGCTCCTCATTAAGTCATTCCTTTCTCAACTTGACACTCCTCGTCTAGCGGTTTCTACATCATAATTGTTGTGAAACCGGCTTCTCATGAATCTTCTATTAGATACATTTCTTTTGCGTTTGTTACATCTTAGCACCCACTCAAATCTGCTGACTCCTCGGACCACGTTATCCCTGAGCCAACTGCTCTTACGGATAAGCCGGTTATTACTTCCACGCCTTCAGGAATCTCAATTGAAGTGACAGAAGTACGTTTTTGGTCACAACTGAGCTCCCTTTTATAAGTCCAGCTGCCCTTATTATTGGTTTATTAACCCCCCCCCCCCCAGAATCCATTAATGGAACCTCTTCCACATCAGCCCGATCGTCCCATTGAAGAAGTCAACATTTTTGCTGGAAGATCAGTGGAGCAATTGCAAACTATGTTTGCGACGTGGGTTACAACAGAATCGGGTGAGCGCCTATACTGGTAAACAGCTGTCTTAGTGTCATCCTGAGCTTCGTGTTTTCGCGTTTTCTGCTTGATTTTTTCATGTGTTGCTCCCACCATCTACTGACACAATTTAGTACACAAACCTTTGTCAAAACCTATTGGCGCGTGGCATCACTGTCTGCCAGATGCTTACGATTTGGAGCTTTTGCTTGGTTTGTGCGTTTGAGCACAAGATTGTACTACCGTCAGCTGTTTCATTGTGGCCTGTTGAGGGTCCTCCCATGTGGTTCGAGGTCGCCACGTTACACAGACCAAATTACACTACGCAGAGACCCGGAAACACTAAGAAGCCCGGAGGTGGCGGAGATGCTGCCGTTTACTGCTCAACCTGGCTGTGTCTTCGGTGTCGCGTCACTGTGCCTAAAGTTGTGATTGATAAATGACGATTGTTGACCCATGCAGTTTGGGTGAACTAGTAAAAGTACAGATGACTGAGGGGCCATCTAAGTGGAATGAGCAGGTGGGGGGAGGGGAGGTGTGTGCACGGGAGTGTCCGCACGATTGTTGAGGATATTGTGATAAGGGGTGGGGGCGGTAAGTTGATTGACGTATGTCATCGCGATTTATTAGTTTACACTCGGTAGGCTGCATGGGCGTCTAGGATAAGTCAACTGAAGCTGGTTCTAATGACAGCGTATTAATTGGCCGCACTGGGGACTTGGATAAAACACCTTTTAGCGCCACTTCGGACGCACATCACCCGGCTTCCGTAAAAATAAACAATCATCCCTCCATTCGGCTTGTTAATGTGGTGGAAATGCGCTCGTGAATGGGGTAAATTGATTGCCAGCCATTTCACTCGTGGTTTCTGTGGTCGTTTGATTGGAGTTGCTCTTTTGCGCCTGCCTTCCGTTAGATCCCCTCGAGGAGGACCTGTGCATGCTCGCGGACTACCTCATCTCCATCCTCCCCACCGACCTGTTCCGAGTCCGCAAGCTCCTTCGCATCTTGCGACGCCTTTTGGACAACTTTGTGCCTGGTCGTGGAGCCGAGGGCAGCAAAACCGGGTCGCTTGCTTGGTGCATTGCATTCGACCGCCTCAAATTCACCGTCGACAGGGCCTGTCGCCTGCACTACGGCGTCGACGCCCTAGCCCTCACAGACGAGTAGCCGCATCACTACCAAACTACACCCACTCCTTAGGTTACTCGTTTTTATACTATTTTTAATAAAACTTACTAGCTGCTAAACCACGAGTTGTGCATTAGTAAGTACTATGGAATCCAGAATGTGTGTATGAATGGTGGATTTCGTCAAATCACTTCTCAAGTCTTAAAATAAGTGTGAGTTATTTGGCTATGAATAGAGCACCTTAAAAAGCACCAAATTCTACGGCTTATCCGATTGCTCCTTTGGTTGGTATTTTTATCCAAGTGATATCTTACGAAAATGTTATTAGGACTGATTCAGAAGTGTTCATGATCTTGTATTGAAAACAGAAGCAACTGTGATCCCCGAATAATCTGTTCGCCATCCGCGGATTAGATAAACAGATTTCTCAAGATGTCCCAATTAACATATGGTCCCAAAATCGTGTTTCAGAGGTCAGACAGCAGTCGCACACGAGAGATTCCTCAGAATTTTGTTAACTGCGAATTGATTCCGTTGGATAAATTTCCGGCGATTTAAAGGCAATTATTTCATGGGTGTTGAAGAAATGCAAAACTCGCTTTTCGTGCTCTCAAAGTCACTCGACCGGTGCCTTTTGTGCAGTTCGATTCGTTAAGGTTTGCTTTGACTTGAGGCACAGAGGCACTGGGACGGCAGGTTCGGTCTTTGCTGTGGCAGTATCGCTAAAGCATCACCCGCCTCCCGGTCGGTGGTGGCCACTCGAAACGGCGAAACGCCTCATCACGAAGTGCGTGTGTGTGTGTGTGTCAATCAAGTGCTTTGTTCTCTTGGTAAGAGGGGTTTTCAATTAAAGATATCTGCTCTGGCGGGGTTCCCTTTGAGTTTATCCGGACTGGTGGTCACGTCAAATGGTGGTAAATCTTTCACTTGGACAAAGCTAAGAGGCTGGCAACTGTGGCACATCAGTGAAGATGTCGTGTTGTAGTCACTTTCTGCCCCTCTGCATCCGCGTGCTGTCTGGAGTCAGCCTGCAAAATTGTCTTAAAAAACGAATAGATTCCCAAGCTGGTTTTTCTTGATGCACCGATTTGACAGTGTGAAAGTAGCGTTGAACCGAGAATTTGGCAATCTTGCAGTGGTTAGTGAATAAAACGGGCTCGTTTTTCCTTGTTTGTGCTTAGCTTCTCCTAGTTCGTGTATAGTGCCATGGGATTTCGTAATTTCCCATTAACATTCCCCGTGTTTTAACGCCTATTGGTACCCCCACTTCAAGAATCACCGAAATACCCGTGTTTTCCCAATTTTCTCATGCCGCAAATATTTTAGTTCAAATGATTTAGTTAAATAACTTGGAATTGTTGTCAACGCAGGTCATCGTGGTTTACCGGGCCACAAGTCAATCAATTAAATTTGTAAAGGCATATTAAGAATCTGTTGCACACCACAACAGTCAAGCACTTTAGTGAGGATGAGGTCAGTGTGCCCGTCTGAATTCTCCGGTTCGATTGGTGCTTGAGAGGCGGCAGTTGGTGCGTGGCCCCTTGTGGGATGCTGCAGACGACTGCGTTTGGGCCGGTTGAAGTCGGAAGTAAAACCGGGCCAGGACTAATGTGTTACAATCACTTGATTGAACACGTTTTAAGTTTTTTCCTAGGGGCTCCGAGTTAACCACCGTTCCCCCCCCTACCCGAGTGCACCAATCAAAATAGCAGCCAATCAGTACGGGCAGAACCTTCACTCTGCACAATATTCACCCAAATAGAAATATTAAAAGGCCAATGTCGATGTGGAGGTATGACGAGAGTCGGGGTCACTGGCAAATGCTGAAAAGAAATGATCAATCCTGGGGTGTGGGTCGTGCTTCTACAGTTCCGGCTTTTCCCACTTCTTCCGTTGTTTCTCAACTAAAAGCAGTGTAAATGCACCGAGTCAGTTTATTTTAACCACAGTTATGGCAAGCAGTTGATTAAAATGGGGCTTTTAATGTGTTACTTAAATGTGCAAGCGAGTTTTTGGCAGTGTTTGTGTACAGCATTAGTCTTGCTCGAAAGTTCTTTTTACCCTACCGTTAAGTAGGAAACTTACAGTGCGCTGCTAACCCTTCCCTTGACTTTCTTTTCAGTTCTGTAAGAAAATCGAAATTCACATGGATTATGATTGATGTGGATATGCTGTTGTCTGTTGGAACCTTAAATCAATAAATCTTAAATATTATTTGCCACACATTACCGGAGGAACTGGATGTTTGTCTGGTTATGCAAATGTTCTACTGAAAACGTATGAGTAGCATCATTTTATCCCAATTTCTGCGACTTAATATAGTAATGTGTGAGGTTAAGGAATGCACTTTGGTTAGTCGTCATCGATGAAAGATTATGAACCCCCTATAAAAGGTTATTTTTTCACCGATTGTGTCACCTAATTTGTCTTCCGAACACTGGATCGCTTCTTTAAACAGGAATTTTGGCTTGAATGTCGAATGGGTTTAGTTAGTTTAAATAAAAGGTGGTATGCCGGATGAATTTATCACCTAGTCGAGTCTCGGCCTACTTGTACAGTTTCTGCGAGTGATGGTTAGAGCCGAGCTCAAACGCGAGTTTCTGTTTGGATTTAAAACCGCAGGTCATGGGAATGTGTAGATGTCAAAAGTTAGGAAAGGTAGTAAATAAATTTGACTAGGTAATCTGACATATCATTTTAGTATTTTGTAATAAATATAAACTAGGAGTTAAACGTTTACTGTATGCAAGGCATAAATGTATCACAGTCTGGAATTGGGCTGTTGGAAGAATAATGGAGCATGAAAACGCCTGTTCCTCCTTACCGGGGTGCCGGTCTCAATGTAGGGGGTAGGGGGTGGGGGGTTGGGGGGGGGTTACGTCCAAGCACCCGGTTGTGGAGGCTGGGCAGACCCGCCAAGGTTAAAACACAAAAATATTTGACTCGGGATGAGGTGGTTATTCCATTACGAAAGCTTAATGGGCTACGAACTGTCAAAATTAGAGATAATGTTGTTTTAAGTCAAGCACTGGCCGGGAGACGGTTGAATCACCAGTGTCTGGCAAGATGCTCACACTAAATTAGAACTAGTCTGAAGGATGTGTGTCTAACAAGGATGGTGATGAAGCACTAGGTCGATTTGTTACTCCAGAGGAGAACTGTTGATCGTTAGATTGTTTTCTACCAGTGATACTTACCCTTATATTTGTTGATTGCATCCATGTCATCGTTAATGAAGGGAATGTACCTATCCCTCAGTCCAAAATAGTCCAGATAATAACCGAAAAAATCCGCCTCACTGTTCGGTAACAAACAGAGAAGGGTCAATAAGAGCACCACAATTTTCAGCATCACTTTGTAGTAATAAGCTGGAGATGAGAAGTTGCCAAGCACACATACACGTGGATGCCTCCTGCCAATGAGAGTATACCTTTCAGCTTGTGTGTGCTCAATGCTTCACTATGCCAAGTGGAAGCGCAGGTCACGTTGGCGGTGATGTCGCCTTCACTAGAGAACGCAGCATCTCAGATAACCAGCAGATTTTATTAAGCGAATACATGTCAACTCGGTGGGTGCTTTTACAACTTCTGACTAAGACTTTGTGGAAGTAAATTTGAGCGTCACATGTCGCACCAGGATACTTTAAATGCACATTTTTTCCATAAAATTTAATTTTGTGTGGTTGCATTTCTTACAAAGCAGGAATTTCGTTACAGTTAACCAGAGTGCGATTTTTTCCACATCTCCAACAAACGACCAACCACGGGGACTTTAGTGGGGTGTATGGCTTATCGAAACTATGATTGAGCTGCAAAAAAAAACTAAAAAAGCAAGGATAGTGCACATTTAAATGTCACATCTGTAGCGGACTAACAGCGATCGCGCCTGAGTGAGCTCTGTTTACTGACCTGACGGTGAAGATGACTCATCCCCTTCTCATTGGCTCCTGTTCTCAAACGTCCGTCATCCACTCACTCATCCACACACTAAGACACACACTTGGCTGGCGTGACGCTAATAAACGGTCGTGTCCTCTGTCACCTCTCTTTATCCACTCTCCTCGGATTGTTACGGGCTGTTAATTAGAGGGCTGTAAAGTGGTGCTAAACTCAAGCTGCTACACGTCGACACACAATTTTACAATGACCGGCATTCTAAAAGTGTGAGACTAGCAGAAAAATTCTGCGGTTAAGTGACCAAGGAGATACAACCCCCCGTTGCGTCATTCAACGATTTTCGCCTTCTCACAATATATGTCATGCTAAGGTTCTGCGCGAAACAGGCGATAAAGATTATGACTTAAGAAAAGACTTTGCAACCATTAGGACAAATTTAATTAGCTAACGCAAAGAATGTGAGGGTCACTTGTAAGGTGATTTTTGAGGTGACATAAGTAGTGCTGAATAAAGCAGCCTCAGCAATAACAAAGCTGCAAATATTATGGCATTGCTAAAGAATGAATTCGGCTCCATCTTCAGCCTTCAAGAGCAGTAAACTTGACATGAAAACTGCGATTTTTGTGAAAAAAGTACAATAAGCGTGAGCCCTTTCGTCTGACTTTATGCGACATTTTGCCGCATGAAGTACCAACGATGTTTCGCCTGAAATTTCCAACATGTTGTTCTGTCTGCCATGGAGCCGATGTCGCCATCTGAACCCAATTTAATTATAAGCAGAATTGCAGTTTATAAACCGCAAATAGTGATGTTGATTGCCCACTTTGTACAGTTCAAAATAAGATATGGTGCACATTTGGGTTTAAACAGATCTATAATTGACTTCTCGAAGCATCAGCATTTCTGTTTAAGTAGCTGTAAAGCTGGAAATTCAGTAAACATCCCTTTGTTCCTATTTGGCAAAAATTGAATGGGTATTATTTGCATAAAGGCAACTAAGCGCATCTGTAGTACCACACTCAATCACAAAATTTGCATTATTCCATCCATATTTGCTAAATTACTACTTTTAGAGCGCATCCTCTTCAAAAATTCCCTCTATACGGAAAAGATAAATGAATGTAGAACACACAAAAGGCCAAT